TTGATGATGTGGGGCTGCATGTCAGGCAAAGGCACTGGGGAGATGACTGTGGTTAATTCTTCTATCAATGCGCAAGTTTACATTGACATTTTGGACAGTTTTCTCATCCTTTCAATTGAACAGATGTTTGGAGGTGATGAAATCATTTTACAAGATGACAATGCATCGTGCCATAGGACAAAAACAGTGAAGCCATTCCTTGGAGAAAGACACATTCAGTCGATGTCATGGCCTGCAAATAGTCCAGATCTCAACCCAGTTGAAAACTTGTGGTGGAAATTGGGGRAAAAAATGGTCCACAAGAAGGTTCCAACCTGCAAAGCTGATCTGGCAACTGCTATCAAAGAGAGTTGGCACCAAATTGATGAAGAATACTGTTTGTCACTCATCGAGTCCATGCCTCAGAGACTGCAAGCCATTATAAAAGCCAAAGGTGGTGCAACTAAATACTTGTCATGTATTTTGAATGGTCTTTTGTTTATCTGTTAAAGGTAAAGGTGCTTTATTTGTCATCAGTGTATGTTTCCACACAATGACGAAATTGTGCTCTGCATTTAACCCATCCACACCCAAGTGGAGCAGGGGGCAGCCATGTGAGGCGCCCGGGGAGCAGTGAGGGTTAGGTGTCTTGCTCAAGGACACCACGACATGTGGGTATGGCGGGGAGTCGAACCTAAGACTTTCGGGTCCCAAGCCGGCTGCTCTACCACTACACCACAGCCGCCCCTTATTCATAATTCCATACTTTTTTCCTCAGAATTGAGTGATTCCATATTTTTTCCCCATGCTTGGTCAATAAAAGTAACATTCACTGACTTACACAATGTTTTCTCTTCATTTCTTTGAGTGTTCCTGAAAGTCAACAAGTTGCACTTTGGAATGACCTTGTTATTGTATCATGTTTTTGATCTGAGTTTGTTTTACAGAATGAAATGTCTGAATGAGTGCTCATTCAAGACTGGTGATTCCATACTTTTTGCCAGGTGTTGTAATTCCTTGCTTCACATCAATAATTGATTCATTTTTTGAGTCAACTCAATTCAAGATGGCTGCCACAGCTTGCCAGAGGAGGCGCACTTGAGAATAAGGGTGTATTCAAACCAGGAAAGTCCTTTGGTCCAATTGTTTGGTCCGGACCAAAAATGGACTTTTTTTTTCGTTTGGTGCGGTTTGCATTCACATTGTGCTTTTTTGCAAACGAACTATAACTTGTAAACAAAGCCACGAGTGTGACGATCATTGCTCCCATTGGACAAAAAAGGACGGGGGCGGGACTGAGCCACAGATCCAGAAGAAAACAAGGAAGTCCTGCATGCTGCGGTTCTGATGCGCACATTTTTACTGATAGTACAACTGCAATAGCATTTAAAATGTCAGAAGCAGCTAATTTAATGGTGATTCCATGATGATATTCTAATTTTGGAGCGGCGTCAGTAAATGTGTCCCGCAACCCAAAGGAGACGAGGTGCGCTGCGTGTTCTGACCCACGACATGCTGCCAGCATAGCTGCTAACAGGAGACAACGAAACAGGTATGTTTTCAGTTTATTTAGCTCAGCAACGATGGCCTGTGAAGTCCAAAAAGGTGCATGTTTAATGCAGTTGGTTCGGTTAGAGTCCGGTCTGTCTTCACACCAGAAGCAAACTGAAGCGAACCGCACCAGAGTTCGTTTGGAAACGAACCGAGACCACCTCAAAAAGCAGGTCTCGGTCCGGTTGTTTGATCCGCACCAGAGTTCGCATGAGTGTATTCACACCTGCACAAAAGGTCCGGACCAACGCTGGAAACGAACTCTGGTTCGTTTAAAACGGAGCAAATGATCAGGTCTGAATACGACCTAAGTTGCAGCTTGTCTCACAGGTAAAAAGCTATGGTTAGCTTTAGCATTGCAGCAAAATGCTGTCCAGTCCTTTTGTTTCAGCTTTAACAGAAACAAATCAGTGAGTTCATGATTTTGGAGCAAAAGAATCATTACTCCTGATTTATTACCATGAGTTACAAGTTTTGAATGACTTGTTAAAGATTTGCAAATCATAGATTGGAATCGATTTGTGTTATCCTTCCTTATAAATGAACTTAATTTGCATTGTTTTTATCTACCTGCTCTGTACGTCCTCTCCTCATAGACCTCTGATTAGGTCCATAAGTACCAGCTTATTACAAGTACTTGTTGGGATGACTCTCACATTGATTTTATGGGTGATTTTGTCTTTACTAAGACAAATTATCTGTGGCAGCTGTCTTGAGATATTTTGCTAACAAACACAGGCAAAAACATTCCCGCCCCTCCAGTGATGACTATCTCAGAGTTTGTGATATCTAGAAGAGATCAAAGTCATTTAAACCTGATTATTTTTATATCCACTTTTTTTCTGTCCTCCTTGTCATTAAGATCCATAAGAGACAAGTTACKTACTTCCTTTTATCACTACAAGAAAAGCAAAATTTGGGGGCAGAGTTTGCTTAAGTTGAAGCAAACCAGTGAGTGTTGTCCCTCTGGGCAATAAATGATGGGGAAAAAGGTGCAGAGGCTAAGAGCAAGGATGATGATGATGATGATGATGATGATGATGATGATGATGATGATGATGATGATGATGGAGGAAGCACTGCAGTGCTGACTGCTGCAGGACTCATCCATCCGGAACACGTTAAACTGCTCCGCTTCAGCTAAAGTCAACTCTGGAGACCGAACACGCCCATGTCTTTGATTAGAAACAACTTCCCTCAGCGCAGTCCTTCACCAAACGAAGCACAAACGTCACTCCACGTCCTCTTCGTTTTTTTTTCCACTCCGCTCCATAAAAATTACAAGACTTTTAATCAGCTTCTCTTGACTCTGCGTTGTTCCCCAAAAAAAATAAAAAACAGGTGGTTTCACTGCCGGCGAAGGAATTCAATTATTCCTAAGATGTTGTAGCTTGTAATATTTATACAAAGTCAATTAATATTTCATTGATACAGTGAATATCTTGTAATAAGCAGTTTGTGGGGAATTAAACAGATGTCTGATCTTTATGAGGGAGGGACAAAACACATTAAATGTGGTTTTGGATCTTTTTTTAATCAGGTTGTTATACATTTGAAGCTGAAGTTATGCACACTGAGGCACAGAACAACTTAGAACCCTAACAGGCTGCGTAATGTATCAAAACTGAATGGTTAACGCAACATGATCAGCATCACACAGGTACCTGCACTAAGTTATATTGGACTGGCTAATGATATATCTGGCCAATCAGAGCTGCCACAAATGCTGAAACATACAAAGTGTTGCAAAGTGAAAATGACATCTCGATCTCAATGAGTTTTTAAATCTGGTTAAATAAAGAAAACGAAAGCAGCTGATATTGCCTTATTTATCAACTGTACCAGAATACTTTTCTAATATCAAGATGCTCTTCTTTCAATTTATCCTAAACATTTGTCAACTTGGTTTTAATAAATTTATTTCATAAAGCTGAAATACGTATGTGCAAATGGGCCCTTTACAATTAAAGGTGCTACATTACTTTTCCCAGTAAAAATGCCTGGGTTAGGCATTAATGCTGTTACAAAAGTGAATGGAAGTCAATATAAAGTCCTCAGTTTGATGCACATACAAGTACAGTATGTGTGTGTGTGTGGGTGGGGTCCTACAATGTGGGGAAAATTTTCCCAAAAAAGCTGCCTCGTGGGGACTGAAGAGCATCGTCCAAATGCAAATTACGGGGGTGGGGTTAGGTTTAGGACCAAGGTTTAGGTTAGTTGTTGGGTCAGTACCTGTGAGGTTAATTTTAGGGTAAATGGTCAGGGTTAGGATATAAAGTCTAAAAAACATGAATGGAAGTCAATGCATGGTCCCCACGGGGTTCAAGAACAAACATGTGTGTGCGTGTGTGGCTATACACTTCAAATTTAGGCCATTTACCATATTAAACTGGTGTCAGACATTTTTAACTCTCAATACATATGTGTATATATA